GAACTATCTACTAGCTTTTTGGCCTGCCAGTGACACAACCAGTAGAATTAGCCTGACCCCTAGCCTTTCTCTATGTAGACCAGAGCTCTGCTGCCTGAACTAACTCTGCTACGAAAACGGTTTTGAAAGGGAAGGAAAATATAAAATATATAGCTGAAGGTCATTAATAGGCTGATTACCCCTTAATAGGGTGGCAGCAAAGACGTGCGTGCGTGTATGCATGGAGCAGCTGCATTAAATTTCTGCTTCAAAATTGAAATCCACCATTCAAACTGAATTACACCACCCCTCCGCGCGCGCCAAGAAAAAACAAGAACATACAGTTGTATGTAAGTTAACTTTTAGTTCGGCGAACAAATTGATATAACTTGAAGTAACAGATGTTTTCTTTACAGTCACCATAGCAATTATAATAAAGCGGATTGCCGTTCTAGGTAAAATATAAAGATAACTAAATTGAAATGAATTAATACAAATAAACTATGTCAATATGCTAAAGTCCCTACAAACTTGATTATTTTAAAACTGAACACGTACTGTGACTGACAACCACTTTTGAGTTGTCGCTGCTTGATAGTGGAACGCTAGAACTCGGTAATAATAAATGCTTTACAAGTTTGTATCAAACATGTACTGTTTAAAAGAGCGGATGTTATTTCCACGGTTGGTCGAATGTTTTTAAATTGACCTGAAATTGTCGAGAAGTAAGAACGAAGTTTTAGCTTGGTGGTAATAGCCTTTTCCTTTGTAAGTATGCGTTGAAGGTCTGACTAAGATATAAGGGTATTAACACTCATGGCCTTTTTGGTGTTGAGTGTAGAGTTGAGAGCTGTATAAGGTTGTAACATTTCAACAAGGCTTTATATATCTGTTAACGTACTTAATCCAACGCAGAAGTAAAATCCGTTTCCTTAAACAATTAAATTGATAAAATAACCTTGGCTAGATCTTCAAATGTATTTTGTCTACCTTTCAGTCAAACTTTATAACTGTCCTCAACGAAAAAATATGTTTACTATGTCAGACTAAACTGACAAAGCTGCGAGAAAATATTACATGCAGTTACTTTAACATTGTTGGTCGAGTTAATGATGCAGTTTACATGCCGAGTTGATGATGGATGGTAATTTCTAGTTTTGTTGGCATCTCTGAACCTTTAAAATATTGGCTGCTAATTGAAAAAAAAAAAGAGGGAGAACGAAAGATACAAATGATATTAAGCAAGTTTAAAAGGTATTGCCAAATAAATTGCAGGAGATGTTATATCCATGGTTGATCAATACCCTATGGAGAACAGAAAATCATACCGCAACAATGGAAGCATCGTCATAGCCAAAGCATTTATGCAAGTAGTTGTATATGTTTCGCTTAATTTCATTGAATGCCCAGAGCAACTGCTGGACAAACTTGCAGAAAGAAATTTTCTGTCAGTAATCACTAAAATTGAAAACAAATTCGTTTTTAATTAGTTTTAACTTACGATAGATAGATATATATACAGTCGAACCCCGCTATTTCGAACTCGGTTAATTCGAAGTCCCCGTTATTTCGAAGCGAGATCGAATTCCCTTGGATTCACCCTTCCCCTTTACGCTAATCCTAACCCAGGCCCACCTAAGCGAACTGAGAGTTCTAAAAGATCCCGTTCTTCCTGTGTGGTAACATGTTCGGTGATAATAATAATAATAATAATAATAATAATAATAATACAAAACCACTATTACGGTAATGCGGCATCCGTTAGAAAGCCATAATTGCCAACAGAAAATTACAATAATTCACGTAAATGTTACCAGAAAATAGTACGGGTCAGTTTTCTAAAGCGGGTATAACGGGTACTCATAACCACGATGTCATCCATCACCTAGTGTAATTATTTTAAACTAACTATTAGAACACCGCAAAATAAACGTGCACTCAAGCTAAGGGCCTTTTTTGTCTTCCCTTTCAATAAATCAATTCATTTCTATGAGTCAGCTAAAACCTTATGACCACGCTTTTTTTTTCAACAGCAAAATGTAATGAGTGCCATAATATAAGCAAAAGTATAAGAACCTGCCGAAAAGAGGGAAAATGTTATATGTACAGTGTGCCATTTTATCAAGAACTTTTATGGCCTAAAGGAGCGGATGTTATTTTCATGGTCGATCGAATGTTTTTAAAATGGCTAGGAGTCGTGACGCTAGTACATAGGCTGGGGGAGGGGGGCTGGGAGGGGCCATCTCTAAGGTAAACAACGGTTCACTGATCACTGCGACACAAATTGCTTGTATCTGGAAATATTTCTAAATTACTCAATAACCAAAGACCGTCGAAAGTCGTGGAAAACATCAACCGTCAGCCGACAAAGCCACCACTTCATTGAGATCCTCCGAGATAGATAGATAGATAGATAGATAACTTTATGTATACACACAAGAGCCATTATGGCTCTTGATACACAGTATTTCCATCAGTATTTCTAAATATTATAACTTACTGGAAATCTTTCCAAAGCTCCCTAAACTTGCTAAAATTTACAGTCAGATGGCGGGGGGAGGGGGTGAAGAGAGGTGGGGGGGGGGGGTGTTGCAAGTTTTGCCCCCTCCCCACCATTCAAAGTTCTGTAAAATTTCGTGACTTTAGCTTTCAACATGGTTGGTCGAGTTAATGATGCAGTTTACATGCCGAGTTGATGATGGATGGTAATAGATACAAATGATATTAAGCAATTTTTAAAGGTATTGCCAAATAAATTGTAGGAGATGTTTTTAAGATAATATTAAAAAATTTTTAAGATAATATTAAAAATTCTATACAACATATTCATATTGAAATATGTTAAAATATAAAGCATGGATATAACTGGGATAGAACTACAGCCCGGACTGTTTCGACATCGCATATATAAATTAAAAAAAAGTATTACTTGTCCAGTTCGTGCAAAGCTTTGGCATATTAAAAAGGCACTGTCGTCTTAGGTTATAGCGTGAGTTGTCCTAGTCTTCAATTTATGGTTTGGATCACTGACAATGTTATCAAAAAGCTTGCTACATAGTACGTAATAATGCTCCAAAATGGGTGTTAACCCCACCTCTATTGCCGAGTCGCACTTTCGTAACGTTATTATTGATATTGCTCTTTTCTCGAGCCGTACTAACTCTTTCTTTAAGTACTGGGGGAGACCGTTAAAAAAGACAGGTGCTGCATAATCAATAACAGATCTCACGCACGATACGTAGAACAGTGCTAGATCTTGTTTCGGAACTCCTGCTCTCTTTAACTGAGTTAGGAAATAGAGTCTCTTGCTAGCCTTTTTGGTTATCTCAGTTACATGGTCGTTCCATGTTAGATCGTTTGCTATTGTAAGGCCTAGTAGCTTTGAACTACTGACTAACTCTACCTCCTTTCCTTCTGTGATGACGGGATCAAAGACTCTTTGCTCTTTAGCAAAGGAGATCCTGAGTTCTAAGCACTTATCGGCGTTATTAAGCTAACATCCACTTTAATTACTTATTCTACATGACTGTGCAATACATATCTAGCTACTGTAAAAAAAAAAATAAAATAAAAAAAAAAATATTCTGTACAACAGCAGTGTAATATCTGTCGTTTAAAGGATCATTTGGTTCTGTTTATAATTCTGGATGCACTGTGTGTATATGGAAAAGACATTTGGAAAAGCCCTTGGCCTAATTACTTAGTACTCTTTAAATTTTCCTTAAAAAAGTGGATGCAGATTGTGATGATGCTTAGATCTGGGCCTGGTTACTGTTTTAGGTCTTCCGCTTTTTGCCCGATTATTTCCACTTCATGAGGGGGCCTGCTTTGTTAAGTTGACAGTTTGTTCCTTCCGTTCCATAAATCTTATCCATTGTCGTCGAAAAACACAATAACCAACAAGGAACAAAAACAAAATTCTAAAGCTATTTTAGGATTGACAGCTCAATATAGGCATGGACAAAGTACAACTGGTCGCTGCCTATAAAATTGAGCCTCTCGTTGTTGCCATTTAAACGCATTAGTTAATCCTTGGACTAAGCATTGAGGTTAGCAGGATACTTAGTATTAAGTCCTAAGTTTTATGTCATTACACGTTTCATATATTGAGCATATGAATATCCTTTTCTTGTTGTAGTTCTCTGACTCGGCTCAACTGTACGACTCTCAGTCTTGAAGGTACGTACTAAGTTTCCTTTTTCATTCCTTTCAAGGGCACTTTTCTTAATAATGACTATATATGATATATATTGCGCGATTAAATAGTGAATTCGGAAACAACTTTTTTCGACGTGTCTAAATGTAAATGCAAGAATGTGACTACACTGTCTATAAGGTTGTAACATTTTCAACAAGGCTTATATACAATTTTAACACGCACTCAAGGTAAGGTCCTTTTTTATCCTCTCTTTAGCTTTTAATAAGTCAATCCATTTCTATGGGTCAGCGAAAACATTATGACGACGTGTTTTTTTCAACAGCAGCTCAATACCCAACAACAGTGTCCAACTACGAAATGATCATTTATATTCTCATCAAAATCTACTTCCTCTTGTAATCACCTAAACGCACCAAATTAAATACAGGATGAAACAGTTGGCTGAAGCTAGAAATTTGCCGTAATATAATCAATAGTATAAGAACCTGCCGAAAAGATGGAAAATTATTTTATGTACAATGTGCCATTTTATCAACAAATATTATGGTTTAAAGGAGCGCATGCTCTGTTTACTGGGCAGTGAAGACATAGATGCCATATGGGTGAAAATGACTATAAGAAACGCCCATAGCTTCTTTAATTGTAATGAAGAGAGTCACATAACTGGTGTACAAAATACTTTCAACACATTGGCTACATAAAAATATTCTGCCCAGTAAAGAAAAACGTTTTGATGTCCTTTCAGACTAAAATAGCCACCATACAAACGTCTATAAAATTACGCGACTTTAGTTTTCAACAAAGCTCTTCTAGTTCTAACTTGGCGATTTTACTACTTTAAAGTCGTGGAATAGCCTACTGC